ACAGAGATAGGAAGAGATAGTCAAATTCGAGATATAATTGCTGTTCTTTCTGAGAAGAATAGACTTCCCCCATGTCCTTGGAAGTGACTTTATCATGGGAAAAGTTAATGCTATGAATGGCATCTTCAACCACATGATAAGGCTCAGTAAAAAGAGAGAGACCCGATTTAAATCTCAGCCTGGCCTTATCCTAGATACATGACTTACTTAACACCTATGAGCAGAAGTTTACTCATCTGCAACATGGGAACAGCAACACCTACATTTCACAGAAGAGGTACGAGGTTTAAATAACAATGTTTGCAATCAGCCTACATATTTTGTTCATACAGATGCTCTACAAATGTTAATATGCAACCGCACCCCCTTAGTAACAGCATTTTCTAAATGGGCTGAGTGGAGAAGATATTTAATACCAAAGAATGCATTTCTGCTTATGGAATTTCAAGCATCAAAATACAGGAAATATTTTGAGGTAGAGAAGCAGTCCCCTAAAACCAACTGTTTACCTTACCAACTGGGATATAGTGGAGGCTTCATATTACTGTAACAAACTTGATCTTCAGGGGAAAAAATAAACTATTATATTGTTGGATTCTGGTTAAAATGTAGAGGTAGTTAATGCAATCCAATCGCAGTAAGAAACATTAACTTCCACTACTCTAAAGCTTACTAAGGGACAATAAAATATTTACTATTTTATGAAGCAACAATTATTTTTACAATAACAAAACTATACTTACAAAAGGGAACGATCAGAACAGGATTTTTATTAGAGCACAGGTTAAAATAAATTCTTGGAACAGCTAGATTTAAAATTGTTATTTTAAAATTAACTCTTAAAAGCTGATGTTTGCTTATTTGCTAAAGAATAAAAACATAGAATATAGAATGTTTTTAAGATTCACTACCTTGTCATTACATTTATAAATGCTTTATTCTATGTAGTGGAGCTCAATATTGACAGGGTTTATTTAACTTTGGTCTTTTTTTAATTATTGAATTTTTAACATTTGAAAAAATAAAAGTTTATCCTAGTCCTGAATTTTCTAAGATTTGCATTAATTTTCATTGATTTCAAACTGAATACATTGTTTCCTGAAAAGTAGGAGGAACACAGAGGAAAAATTAATATGATTTTTCAGGGAAAAAAAAGTATTCCCATTCAGATAAATATCATAATACAAATTGGGAAGTGTTTCTTCATCCACACTCGCTAACTTGTTTTTCCTACATAACACTTTTTTTTCCAGTTTATTTAATTGGAGAATAGAATAAAAAGAAAAGGGTGGAAATATCTAAAGTACAACATGCCTATATTGGTTAAGACAGCTTCTTCTACATAATAATTAGTATAAGAGGGAGGAGCTGAGGGCTCAAGCAGGGCATTAAACATCTGTTTTCCAAGGCATCCGGGAGAGCTGTTTTATCCATGGTTAATACCCAGCTGGGCCACCATCGTATGGGTAACTGAGGTTTGCATGACAGGTATCTGTTCCAGTTGCACTAGACCCATGCTATGCCAGCTGTTAAATATTTTTACTGTCACTCAGACTATATAAAATCTTGGCCTGGGCTTAAACCCAGTTGGCCTAGACTCTCCATCCTTGGCTCTTTGAGACTTCCAGTTAAAGTTCTCTCTATAACTATCTTAATTTATATATAAATGCTACTGATACCCTGTCCATTTAAATCATGCAAAGAAACTTAGATGGGGTCCTGTCCAGGTAGCTCAGATGTTTAGAGTGCTGTCCCAATAAAATAAGGTTGTGGGTTCCATCCCGCATCAGAGCACATACAAGAATCAACCAGTGAATACAGAAATAAGTAAAACAACAAACTAGTGTTTCTCTCCCTCTCTCTCAAATCAATAATTAAAAAAAAATTTAAAGAGACTCAGATGGTCAGTTTCAGTGCCTTTTATAATTCTTTATTAACATCTGGAATATGCTCACAAATTTCAGAGGAGCCAACCAAGTATACATCATATTAGAAAATGGTGAAAGAATAGGAAAAAAAAAAACAAAACCCTAGACTAAGGTTCAAATCTTAATCTTTCTCTTTTTTTTGAGGATTTTATTTATTTATTTTTAGAAGTGGGGAAGGGAAGGAAAAAGAGAGGGAGAGAAATATCAGTATGTGGTTGCCTCTCATGCACCCTCTACTGGGGATCTGGCCCTTAACTCAGGTATGTGCCCTGACTGGGAATCAAATCAGCAACCGTTTGGTTCACAGGCCGGCACTCAATCTACCAAGCCACACCAGCCAGGGCTTGATCTTTGTCTTTAATTAACATTCTTGAGTCTTAAGTTCATCATCTGTAAAAAGGAACTAGACTATTTACCTCACAGACTGTTGTAAGAATTAAATGATATACTGCATGTCATAATATCTGTGTACTACACATAGGTGGTCAAAAATGCCTACTAAATCTGTATCAATTTGTTATGAAAAACATGGTTTACATTTCTGAGTTCATGATTTAAGAAGAAATCAAAACTTTTAAAGGGCAGAGGCAAAGACACAATTAAAAGGTTCAAAGGTAAGACCTAAAAGAATCAGTACCACTTAACCTACAGACGGGGAAAATATCACAATTTAATTGGCCATTTTCTATAAAAGAACAAGGGAAGAGAGTAGGTTAAGACAAAGCACCAAGAATTTTGGTTAAATAAAAAATCTGAAGAGCCCATTATTAAAATTAGAAATTAGCAAAAATATGAAATACATGCATAGTTTTGGAATGGACAGATTACATCAGTGTGTAATGACCTCATCTGAAGGGTAAACAATCTCTCAACTCTGTTGCTTGCAAATTCCAAGGAGATGCAAGAAAAAAGGGCAATCAGAAAACTGAAGCCTTTATAGTAGCTCCTGCTAAGATTTCATATAGCTTAGGAAAGCCACTTCAGTAATTTGGGCCTCAATTTCCTCATTTGCAAAATTAGAGGGCTTGATTGTGAGTCTTCTGTAGCTATAAAAAATATATGATTCTCATTTAATATGGTTTATGGCTGACACCTATCCAAGAATACAGGAGGTAAGCCATGGGAATGCATCAATGACTATTTACGGGGAGGCAGAGAAGTGTGACGGCATTGTTACAATGCAATAAATTACTGTTTTGATGTAATAAATAGTGTACCGAGTAGCCTAAAATTTGGTAAGCGGCCTAACAAGATATTTACAACCAGGAATTAACCTAACTATCTAGGTCACTATTCATGGAAGCACAACCAAGTAACAATTACACATTCTAATGTATGGTATCAAAATACCAAGGATAAGTTTTGAAAGTCATTTTTAAAAAACAGCAGAGATATTTGTGACATTGTGTTTTGCTTAAGAGAATAAAAATATCTGCATTGTCAGAACACATGGAAATTAACAGTGAGAAGATGCTAAAAGGTGTTAGGCTGTAGAGGGATTAAATTCATTATGATATGCCAACCATGTACTCTAGATAAAGATATGTTTTATAGTCATCTGTTAGTAAAGGTTCATCATAAGAGCACTTAACATTTTCACTTAAAAATTAACTCACCAAGTAGAAAACTTTTATGAAATATGACATGAAACTTAGAGCTACCTACTTCCTCAAAGGAACTGAGATGACATGCAATAAAACATGGATAAACAATAAGTGACTTTGGACATCTTATATAAAAGTAAAATCAATTTCCAATAACATATTCTGACATCTATAAATAAAAGCACTTAATTATGAAATGTTTTCCGTAAGTTCACCAAGACAAAGTATTTCCCATATGAGATAAGCATCAGACTTTTCCAGGCTACTTAATTTTAGACTTCATGTACATGAATAATACTTTCTGGGGGGGGGGGGGCGGGGAACCACAGATACCCCTATCTTACTCTCTCCCAAAGAAAACTAAAATCTCTGTATATAAGAAAGTTTTCCTTGAAAACTCTTGCTTTACAATGGCTAATTCTAAAATAGGGAGAAAGCTCAATGAATACAGACTAAATAAACTATAACTGATTACATGATGGAAGAAATAATCAATGCTATATATGACATAATTTAAATCTCATTAAAAGCAAGTCATGGTTCCCTGGCCCGGTGGCTCAGTTAGTTGGAGCATCGTCCCTACACCAAAAGATTGTAGCTTTGATTCCTGGTCAGGGCATATACCTAGATTGTGAGTTCAATCCTGGGTCGGGGTGAATATAGGGGGCAACTGATCGATATTTCTCTCTAACATCAAAGATTCCTTCCCTTCCTCTTCCTCTAAAATTGATAAACACATCCTTGTGTGAGGATTTAAAAACAATAATAAAATAAAAAATAAAATAAATGAAAGCAAGCCATGGTAGTTACCCACAGAAAAAGCTCTAGTACAAAGCATCAAGATACAGCACAGTTCTAAAACATACACACATTATATTGATACGCCACAGTGGAACTTACCATCTTGGTTAGAAAAGTGAGAATGTGAGGCAGAGACAACTTAGCCTGCTTCTTTATCATATGTGCTCTTATTATCCTACTATAAACAATGCATTTCCCTTACTCTTACAAGAAGAATTTTCATTTACATTTATAAATTAAATATCTATAGAACTGATTCTTTTAAATTGTCTCAACTCTAAGTACATATAGAAATATCAAAATGACTAGGAGGAAGAATAAAATAAAACATCTATATTACCATATTAACTCTTATTTATTCACAAGTGTCTGAAACCTTAAAAAACTTTCTGAAAATGCAGACAGATATGCAAGTTGCAGTACCAAACTGTGCATTCCACTTAGTATTATATGAACACATTATTTTTCTTTTTAAAAGGATACCATCTATTTTCTTTTCTTAACAATAGTCATTCATAGTCCAATTTCATTTCAATATTGTACACGTATTTTTCTGTGGATTCTATTAGGCAATGTGAGAAACTCATTACAGAAAGAATTGTAATAGTCCCTCAAAATAATTCTTACTCAATTTTATGTGAAATGGAAAACACAACCACAAAATTACCTGACAAGCAATGTGCACGAGGTAGACCAGCTCTTTAGATTCACAGCCATTTTTCGTTATGTCATTCTGTTCTTCTGAAAGTGAAAGCTGCGTCAAAGAAGAAAGGGCAGGAGAGAGGGAGAGACATGATTAATGAACAAGAATTAAATACTCAGTAATACTTGGATTCTCGCATAATCTTAATATACGATATGCCTTATAAGAGAACTCTACTACATTAAGGCAGATAAAGAATTCAGGATTTTAAAAAATATCCTATTAGTAGTAAGTAAAATACATTCATTCAAGAGCAGGCCTTCCCTTTCTGAACTTGGAGCGCACAGGGGAAAGGAAGACACCAAGGGGGCCGGGAGCGGCAGCGCAGCCTGGGAGCTGACAGCGCTCAGGCTCTGCGGCAGAGACGGCAGGCTGGCTGCCCGGGACACAAGCTGGCCCTACGGAGATGCTTTATTTCAGACTCACCGTGGAGGCCTGAGCACTGGATTGATTTTTTTTTTTTTGAACCACCAACTAGCATTTAGAAACTGAGTGTTTTCAAATGAAAGATACAAGTTTCTGGCTTCTATTGACAAGTCAGGAAATGTGAAATACCGGACCGTACTTTCACACAACCACTGGCTGGAGCTGAGAAGCGACCGTCCCCTTGGAATGTGTCCTCCAAGAGACTATGCCACGGAATCCATTACTCCATTTTCCACCAGTATCTAGATGAATGTTAACCGTCGTTCACTGTACTGCTGGCTTTATTTTTTATACCCTACTCACTGCACTCGTTCATCTTACATACCTGCCCTCACTAGAAATGGGAATTTGCAAACTCTGCTCCAAAAACAGACAACCCTGATTTCAAAAGTGTCACTAACTGGTTGTATAATATTGACCTGCCCACTTAATCTCTCATTTGGAAAATGGAGATGATGTAATAATACCTGTTCTCAAGTTTGTGAGTATTCAATGGGATATTGCCTTTGAAGTGTTCACCAAGGTACCTGGCACTCAGAAGGTACTTAATATATGTTACCTATTATTACAGTTAATGTTATAAGAAATATATGGTTTGAAGATATATTCTCTGTTTTTGAAAGCAGTGTAACAGGAAAAATTTTAAAAATACCTCCTGGTATTAGGTAAGAAATGTTTACAAGAGATAATGATCATTCTCACACTATCCAATTTAAGCTAAATTAATCACAAAGTCATTTTTTTAATAAAAAAATTAAGGGGGGAAATGAAACCTAAATAAATTAAGCTGCAGAAAGTGACAATACTTTATGAGACAAAAGGGCTGATGGATGTGTTGGATAGCCTGGAAAAGACCCCAGAGGAAAAAGAATCTGCCTTAGACAGGGGAGGGAGAAACCGGCCAAACCTACAACCGACGGTAGGTGGACTAGAGTGACAAACTAAAATTCAAGGAACACCCGTAACAGAGCGTGCACACCCACTCACCAACAGATTCCCACAGGCACTCACCAAGCGCACGCACGAGGCCAGCAGACCAAAGGCAGGAGGGAGAGCAGGAGAACGAGTTGCAGGAGAACCGAGGGGGGCAAACCCGGGAAGCGCACGCTACCTCCCCGTGCAGCGGGCGGCGAGCTCACTGCTGGGGATGGGGAGCAGAGCCCGGAAGCACAACGGAACAGATCACTCTAGACACTCCGGACATTCAGCAACTGAAGGCATCTGGTGGCCCAGAGAAGCTGAGAAAAACCCTACAGAGGCAATTCGACCTCACAGAACATACGGCAGCTACCAAGACCCAGGCTGGGGAAGGGAACAGGAGCTGTTTCAGCACAGAGAGCTGGACAAAGCCCGGAGAACAAGAGAACTAGCAACTGGGCGGTAAGGCGGAGATGGGCAAAAGAAAGTGGGTTTTCCATCAGTTCAGAAACCTAATGGCTTAGCTGTAAAGCACAAAGAGATCTTCAGACATCGCGCCCATTTTAAACTCCTCTTGATAGGAAAAAGCAAAAAAACAAAACCAAAAAAAACCCTCTTGAACTTACACTCAAAATATTTAAATGATAAACTATAGCTGCCAGAAGGCCATATCTGTATAAGCTACAGGTCAGCTTCACTCAGCTCCTCCCACCCCCAATCAAACATGACTGACATATTTAATATAACAATTTAACAGACTAGAAGAAGAAGGGATAGACCCATTCCTGGAGGTAAATATTTACTGACTTTACATAATTGGCATAAAAAATTACAAACGCACACAGAAGTAAGAAATTGTGACTGATGGTCAAGAGAAGAAACAGTAAAAGGAATGAGACACAAATGGCCCAGATACTGAAATAATAAAGAGAATGTAAATTATGATAGAAATTCTAAAATTAAGTTGAAAAGATAATAATATGTAGCACATGGGAAAATCTAGCAGAGACAAACTACAAAAATATTCAAGATAAAATGCTGGAAATAAAAACTACATCTGATATTAATAGCAAACTAGACATAGCAGGTGAAAGGATCAGTAAACTTGAAAAGAGTCCATTAGAAATTATCAAGTTAATACAAAAAGATAAAAACAAGAATAGCCAAAAATAACTATGTTTGAGATCACCGAGGGAATGCCAAAAGACAACTACATGTACAACTGGACAATTAGAAGAAAATCAGACAGACAACAAGAGAAATATTTGGTGAAATCAGAAGAGAACTTTCTAAAACTGGTAAAAACTATCAGTTAACAAATTCAAGAAATGTAGTGAACCTCAAATAGGATAAATTTTAAAAATCGATACTAGACACATTATCATCACACTTTTAAACAACAAAAAGACAGAATCTTTAAAGTAGGCTAAAAAAATATTACATAAAGGGGAAAAATATGATTGACAGCTGAAATCTCACCAGAAAGAAGGACATAAGAGAAAAGGAAACATCTTTAAAGAGGTGAAGGAAAAGAGTGTTAAATCTATATCCCATGAAAATAACCTTAACAAATTTAAGAAACATGGACACATTTACAAATGATAAAAGCTAAGAGACATCATCTTCCAACAGACCAATGCAAGAAAGAAAGGTGAAACAACTTAGGTTGAAGGGAAATAGTACCAGATTAAAAAAAACCAGAAATGCAGAAAGGAATAAACAATAACTAGAACGGGGTAAATATTTAAGTAAATATAAAACACCTTATTCACAACAATAACAGGTGAAAGAAGTTTGAGACTATCTTAATAGTTCTAAAAAAGGAAAATAAATTATCCTAGATTTTATTCATACCTAAACTACAAGAAAAAAATAAGAGCAAAAAAATTAGCATTTTCTGATTAATAAAAACTTTGAACTTCCAACATCAAGTTCTCACTAAATTAACCTTCTAAAATATGCACTAAAGAAAGAAAAAACAGATTCCAGGAAAAAGAACTAAGATGGAAAGTAGAAATACTGAGCAAAGAATTTAGCAAGTATTTCATCAAAATAAATTTTAACTGTATAAAAAATGATAAATTGTAGAAGATAAAGAGATGGTATTATAATCCTAGACAACACTAGTATGAGAGACAAGAAAGAGTGATCCAGTTAAAACATCCCCAAGTACTAGTGTTGCTTAAGAGAAGTAGAGATACTGATAAACTTTAGGCTGAGAATTAGATATTCAAGTTAAAATTTAATTGTAGCCACTAAAAGAACTGAAGAACCATAATTTCTAAACCATGAGGAGGGGGGTAAGAATTTTAAATGTCAATAACTACAACAGAAATAAAAAATATAAGTAAAATCAATCTTCCTAAGCAGACCTGGGCAGAGGAGGGGAGAGAGGAGAAGGAGAGAGCTTCCCTTCCAAGTTAAGGCAAGGAGATATGGGGGGTGGGGTGGGGAATAAAATTAAAAGCAAAGGACCATGGTCAAATGGTGTCAACGAAACAGTGGAGTAGGCAGCTCCAGACTCTAGTCCCTTCACAGAAACATGGGAAAACAAACTAAAAACTCTCAGAATCCATTTTCTCACTGCTCTAGAAAACAGTAAAAGGTTACAACACCGTAAGAACACTGAATCAAAAAAGCCAACTTAAAAACTGCAGGAAAGCATTGTAGCATCTTTACTTGCCCTTGCTCCAACCCCACCCCCGACCCCGCCCAGCACAGCAGCGCTCCTGCGGAAGGCAACTCTAGTTCTCTAGCGTGGGACCCTGGTCCCTGGGTCCGAAGAAGTAGGACACTATTAGCAAATGACCGAGTCTGTTATCTATTCCAATCTGTCTGGTGACGACCTGAGGAACTGCTGCAAGACACAAACCTGTTTCATTACATTTGGAACTGACTCAGGGACAATAAGCAGCAGCATTGTTCAAAAATATTGTAAAGTAACCAAGACATCTGCAGTCACCTGGAGCAAAGGATTATAGCTAAGACATAAAACAGTTTAAAACCCAGGAGGAAAAGCTGAGGAGAGAGGTTCTTTGTGAAATTAGGGCATTCAAAAACCCATGAATGTGTCCAGGGCAGAGCACATGCGTACAAAAGATGTAAGAACATCCTAACCTTTAACCTCTAACGAATCTTTAGTGTTGAATGAGTGCTCCAACACAAAGAAAATGTGCAAAGACTGGAGAAAGTATTTATTTTGTTTATTTTTAGCTCCTCGCTTTCAAGGAATTACCTGGAAAAAAAATTACTACCTCAACACGAGCTAAAAGAAGAGAGAATTGACTGAGAAGCTATGACAGAAAATAGTCTTTGCAAAAATAATCTGGAAAAGTTACTAACCACACAACTACAGCCTTCATGAACAAAAACAACAAAACTCTAGAAACGTATAGAATCTGATTTCCAGGATTACCACACTGTAATATTCCAATATCCAGTATGCAACAAAAAAAATCACAACATATACAAAAACAAAAACAAAAAATAAGACGTATGAAGACAGGGGTTATTATCAGGAAAAATAAAAAATAAAACAACAGAAACTGTCTCTGGAAAGTCCAGATACAGGGCTTTAAGTAGAGTTTAAATGAACTATCTAAAATACACTCTAAGAGCTCAAAGAAATCTCAAAGAACTAAAGGAAAAAGCAGGAAAACAATACAATGAAGAGAACTACGAGAGAGAATCAAACACAAACTCAGGAG